AAAAGTACTTCAATTTGATATAATCCCATTGTTAAACCTTATTAAACCTTAAACGCTATTTCTTTTATTACTGGGGTTCTGTTTAGAAAGCCCTTGCCTATGCCTATGCCTTCAAAAGTTTTACCAAATTGGTCTTTCAGTAACTCATTGTTTTTGTTGTAAAATTTAGATCTTTGATCCATTTTATTTTCTATTAGTATATAGTGAGAGACATGGATCTAGTGTCAATCTTTAACATGTGCATAACCTGTTAGCCCAGCAATGACTGTTAAAAAACCAATTGTTCTTGCAGCATATGATTTCCACCTCTTTGTCAAAGATCAGATGGCAGAATATACCTAGAGTTGTTTCAGTAGTCTCTATTCTATTTTATTGACCCTCATGTCTATTTTTGTGCCACTGCCATGCTATTTTTATCACTGTAGCTTTGTAGTATAACTTGAAATCTAGGATTGTGATGCCTGCCATTTACCACTTACTGCCCAGGACTGTTTGCTTTCTAGGTCTCCTCTGGGTCCATATGAACTTTAGGATTGTTTTCTCTAATTCTATGAGGTTGTTGGTATTTTAACTGGCTTGCATTAAATCTAGCCTATGCTCACAATTCAGTTGCAACCAGAATCATGAAAGAAATTATGCAACCGGAATCATGGAACAAATTAAGTTCTTCAATGGAGGTAAAACTGTAATTGCTTTCAGAATATGGCCATTTTGACAATATTGGTTCTACCTACCTAGGAACAGGCTAACCTTCCATTTTTTGACGTCATCTTATTTTTTTAGAGTTCTAGTTTTCATTTTAGAAATCACTCACTTTCTTAGGTTAATTCCTAAGTATTCAATTTTTATTGAAGTTATTGTATATGGTATTGTTTTCTTCATTTCTATCCCACTGGATTCATTATTATCGTACAAGAACACTATTCATTTTTATGTGTCAGTTTTGTAGCCTGCCATCTTGATGAATTTGTTTATTAGTTCTAGGAATCCTTTGGTGGAGACTTTTAGGTCTTCCATGTATAGGGTCATGGCATCTGCAAAGAAAGATAGTTTGACTTCTTCCTTTCTTGTACATATCCCTTTTATTTCTCTTGCCTGATTGTGTTGTCTAAAATTTTGAGTACTATATAGAACAGGAGTGGTAATAATGGACACTCTTTTATTATTTTTAATTCTAGAGGAAAAGTTTTCAGTCTTAATATGAGGTTGGCAGTAGCTTTGTCATAAATGGCTTTCATCAAATTGAGATAAGATACTTTTCTTCAGAGTTCTTCCAGAAATTTCATGAAGTAATGGTCTTACTTACAGATGGTGTGAAGGTGCAGATAAGGACCGCCTATTGAAAGCAGGAAGTCCTTCGCCATAGCCCTCTACAGTACACCCTAATTTCACGGCACTCCCTACCCAGGAGAGATGACTTAACAACCAAATAGGGCCAAAATACACCTTAACTATAATACAAGAAATATTCAAATGCAGTGGGTTCTTGGGTTTTCTTGTTTGTTTTTCAGAATAAATACAATTTTTGGACCAAATATATTTGCAAGTAAAAATATTTCAACTTTCCTGTTTAGTTATTACAGGATATATATCCCTAGGTGATAGTTTTAACCACCTTAAGTCCTTTTATGTTTGAATTGCAGTTACTTTTTATCCTTTTTATATACTTCAATAACATAAATATACACTACACTTTGTTTTTTAAAAGAACACTGTCTTCCTTTTGCGAGTAATGTGTCAACTAAGGCAATTTTAAGATTGCATGTGTAAACACAAAAGGTTTATATTTGTCTGTCTTGGGGTCTCAGAAATAAACTCAAGCCTTTATACACCCTAGGCAAGTACTATACCACTGAACTACATTTTCAGCTCTGCAGTAAATCTTACAGAGCACTGTGTTTAATGGAAATTATTGGTCACAGAATGTATTTTACATAAAAAATTTCATATTTGTTAGGCAGAAAAATTGCTTTCCAAAGTCCATAAGTGTCTTGGTTACTTTTCTCTCGTTGCTGACACAAAATACCCAACGTCCAAAATGAAGGAAGGAAAGGTTTATTTAGCTTACAGTTTGTGGAGGTTTCAGTCCATACTTGGCTGGCCCCAGAGGCAGAAGGTAGCAAAGCAACAAGAGCAAAGGGTGGAATGGCAGCCAAACAGCAAATGCAGCCAGACCAAAACCGAGGAATAGCAGCAAGCAGCTTCTTTTTCCCTGCCTTACTTTGTAAACAGGCTACCCCCACCTAAGGGGCGTGTAGCTCTCACATAACCTCCATGCCCTCCTCTACAACAGGCTCAGGATGTATACAAATTAAGTATCCTGGCTTCCTGCTGAGTCACTTAGCCAAACCTCTAGACTCCCCAAGTTGACACAATGTTTCAACCATAACAATAAGGAAATAACACAAAAAGCTCCACTTCAGGTTAGGAAGACTTTTTTTTCCAGGATTGAGAAATGAACTTTGCAATGAGCCCTATAGCCAGGCAATCCATCCCCTTCTTGTGTGAGTGAGAAAAGAATTCTCTAGGTTATTAATTTGCCCAGACTGGGCTCCCTTTTTCTTTCTTTTCTTTTTTGGTTCCAAGAGTTTATTTGCAAATTGAGGTGGGGAGGTGTAAAGGAAAAAGTAGCTCTGCAGAGCAAACTTGGGCTAAACAAGGAAATGAAAGTATAAAAGCAAAAATAAAAGCACACTCTGTATCTAGACAGAGAGAGAGCTTCCATGGGGAGTCATAGTAGCGGGATTCTCCTGGCTTCTGGTCCCTTTATGCCATCCACACGGGAATCTGCAAGGAGCTGTACATATGGGTCCTAAGAATCATCTGGCACTAGCCTGAGATCCTGCAATTGACAGGCTCCATCCATTTCTCCAGCCAGTTTAGTCATGCCCTACATCCTATGTCATTTACCCCTGAGAGATACAAATACAAAAAATTTTTATCGGGTGCTGAAAGAGTAGTGGTCTCTAACTTCTATAGCTTCTTCAAGATGGAAGGGGCTGGGGTGGGCTCACACTTCAGTCCTCCAGCCTCAGAACCCTCAGCTGGGATTATAGGCCCAGGCCAACACACCCAGCTTGGAGGACCACATTCTTGCACTATACCATGCTCTCTCTCACATCCAGTTATGGTGATCCTTGAAGGCTTCATGGAGAGCAGGATTTGAAATAAGTTCTGAAGAAGGAGTAGATTTTGTCTGGTGAAGAAAGAGCTTGGAGCAAAGGTGGGAAAAGAATTCTCAAAAGAAGAAATAAAAATAAGAAATAAACAAATTCCCATTTGTCTGGAATAAAGGCTCCTTGAAGGAAGGGGGAAGTTGTCCATGAATGGAAAGTAGGAGATAAGTCTTGAAAAGACAATAAAGAGTCATGGATGTGAGACCCAAAACTTTGTAGCCAACAAAAGTGAGTCAATGAAATTTTTTGTGCTAAAAAATTCCAGTTTCACAAGGAAGACAGTAGATTTCAAGTTTCTCACCTGAGACCTTGTGAAGAAACACCAAGTCACTATCAGTGTCAAAGTAAATACCACAGTAATCCAAAAAATACTCACAAAGGGCCAGGTATGGTGTTTCATTATAAGTGATTTTACCTCAGGACAAGATTTAATGAAGAAAACCCTACAAGGGGCTAAATCATAGCAGTCTTCCACTTGTCAAACTTTGCCCAAGTTTAGACTTTAAGTATTTCAGAAAGGTAGGTTGATCATTTATTCTTTTAATCATGATCCTTTGATATTTTCTTCCAGAGAAACTTTTCCTTTAGTATCAAAAGTTTACAGTTCATGATCCTACATTTTGGTGAGGATCTCTGGCTGATAGTATTCTCTACTGCTTACCAAATATAGATTCAACCATAGTTTTGAAAATCGTACCAGTACATATTACCAGTTGCCCATCAGCACACATGTTTAGCTGGACTATGATTGTCAAAAGCAATCCTTATGAAAATATGTGCCCCATTTGGTGGAATGCACTTTAAATCTTGGGATGGTAGATAGCCCTTCTCAGGTAAAAATTAATTCACAGACTGCTGTACAAGAGAGATTTTGATTGCTGTGAAAAATATTTGAGATAAACTTATAAGAGGGGAAGGTTTGTTTTGCCTCACAGTCTCAGGGGATTTAGTCCATGGTAAGTTGGCCCTATTGCTTTGGGTCTGTGGTAGCACATAAATCATGGTGAGAATCCACAAAGGAAGAGGATTGTTTGCCTCATGGTGGCCAGGAAGCAAGACAGAGAGTGGAAAGGCCAGGGTCCCCACGGTCCCTTCAAAGGCACATCCCAATCACCTTCTCTCACTAGGACATAAGGTTCTACCATCTCCAATAGGACCACCAGGTGGGCACCAAGCCTTCAATGTCTGGGCCTGGATGGGGGGAGGGAGTTAGACACAAATAATAGCAACTCCTTAAGAAATTTTAAATCTGCAAAAGATAAATGTCATTTCACCTAAAGATAGCGGACCGTAGGATTGAAATTTTGAATCTGTGTAAATGGCTTTACCCAGGTCACCTAAACCTCATCCACTATTTTAAAAATCTCCTTAGGCAGAAAGAGAAGCTCTCTTAGCCCATCACAATTTAATTATTTGAACTGAAGGAATTTATATAGCTGACAGTCGCATGATGGGTACAGACCTAAAAGTTTGCATAGGGATGCATTTTTATCCTCAGTTTAAAATCAGCAGCACCATTACGTACACAAACATGTTTGCCTTATTGGTCCTCATTACCAGGGCTAGAATGAGCTAAACTGATATGCACTCTACTCACAAACACAGAATTGCAACACTGTCTGCAAAGATTTAAATTGAGCCAGAGAAGCGAGTCGCATTTCACAGAACTTGCGGGCTTTTCTGCGCCACCTCGTGGCCACACTCCGACTACGGCCCGCGACGGTGCAACACTTTTCCCCGCGTGGGTCAGGACTGCACCAGCCGCAATGCGGAAATCGACTGCGGCGAAAACTGAGTCTCTGTTGCCAGGGATGGGAAACAGACCTGCGCTTCTTTCTGTTCCTTCCCCGTTTGTTTTTAATCCTTTAATTCTACCCCTGAGGTAGGCCATCCCATGCTCCTTCTGGTGCGGGTTCCGGATCTGAAAGCTTTCTCCAGCCCCACCACGCAGCGGTGCCCCCGTCTCGGCCACCGTCCTCCCAGGTGGCCCTCGCGGCCCTCCCTTCAGCTCCCCGCTACGCCCGCTCCGCGCCCCCTGCAATCTCGGCCGCAAGGGCCCGCCCCTTTCTCCGGCAGCCAATGGGGCCGCGGCCACGCCCTCCGCCACGCCCCTCCCTCCGTCCAGGCGCGAGCGACTTCAGGGCCTTCGTGGGCGGAGTCCCAGGCCTCCTCCCGCCGGCGGCGGCCGCGAGCTTGAGCCTCTCCCTCGGTGGCCATGGACTCCAAGGGGCTGCAGGTGAGCGGTGGGCAGGACGGGCTTGCTCTGTGGGTTGGCCTTGGGCCGGGGCTTGGACAGAGCCCGGGACTTCGGGTTGCCCGGTCGCCGGTGGGCGAGGCCGCTGGGAAACGACGTCCTCGCCAGCCTCCGTCCCTCCCTCCCGCCGCACCAGCCGAGCTCGCCCCGCGCGGAGGGCGCCTGGAGGTGGACTTCTGTCGCCTGGGGCGGTAGCGCGGGGCGCTGCGCCTCCAGGAGCGAGGTTGAAGGCTTTAGAACAAAGTGGTAGTGTCCGATCTCCCCCTGTCCGTGGAAAGAGCCCGGAAAGCCTATGAAACCTGTTGAAGACCTGGGGCTCCCGCGCGGAGCGGACGTCGTTTTAGGGTGGTCTTCGCTGTCACTCCCAGAATCCCCCCCTCGTCAGAGCGTTCATGATCGCGGTCTGTATCCTTGCTGTTCTTCTACCTTGCCGACTCCTATACTTTCCTCCAGAGCCGCGAGAGGGAGGTAGGAAGGGCCTGATGTGTGTGGAGACCGAGTGATGGAGTTGCGTTTTCCGTGCCAGCTCGACGGTCCTCCGCAGTAATCTTTCCCTTAATTTCATTCTTCCACCCTCCCCGCACTCCACAGTTACCAGACCTGTTGGTGTTATCCTAAGCAATCTGTAGCCTCCTGTCTACATTACAGTCTTTTTTTAAAAAATTGAATTTCTGTAGTCATTAGTGACACTGAGCATTGTACACATACCGGTTGGTCGTTTGAATGTCCTCTTTTGGAAGTATTTACTGAGGTCCCTTTTTTTGTTAATTTTATGGAAAAAAATAAAACAAAATTTCATAATATAGTGCAGTCTTTACATTACAGTCTCATCTGAAAAATGTAAGTCCTCTGGGACAGAGACCATTTCTTACTCATTTTTATACCCCAGGTGGCTTAGTGCCAGTGCCTGGCGCTAATAAGTAGTCAGTGAATATTTGTTGAACTAAAGCCTGAGCCGTGGCAGTGGCAGTAATGATGAAGTGTGGTAGGTAGCCTGAAGAAACAGAAGTTCCTAATGGTTGTTTAGACTTAGAAATACGTCCTGGGCAAACGAGAAGGGAGGATCATGACTCAGTTACTGGTTTAGGCAACAGATAGCAAATGAAAATGAATCTCGAGCTTCGATTAGTGGTCTTGGTTAGACGTTACTTTTGCATTTCATCAACATACGGGGTTCAGTGAAACTTCCGAACGGTGGTGCTTTTAAACTGTGATAATCTTAATCTTTGCAAGCACCGGTAATTTGTTTTACTAATAACATTTCACAAACTAGGGTGCTGTTAAGGACCGAAGGTTTGCAACCACATCGTTTCCCCTTTAACTTCTTGTTCTTTTCCGAATACCATGCTGCTACCTTTCAGGAGGATTATAGGTGATGAATGATACTAAATATGGCACAATTAAAATACCCTTAGTTGCGGCAAACTAAAAGGTGATCTGCAGGCAGTTTTCCTGGGTTGCACTGTGGGTGCCTGGGAGATTGAGTGTTGCTTACTCTTTGCAAAAAACTGGCTAAGAGGAATAGAGAGCAGTAACTGCAGGAGGAAAGTAGACTAAAGGAAACAGAACATTTGCCTGACATCTGCAGAAGGAGGAGGATATAGCCCTCTGGAAAAGAAGACTAAAGTAGAGTTGTGTACACACCCTTACATTTTAATTCTGTCCACCAGTGCTTTATACTTCTCTCTTGTGCTAAACCAGGAGAGGTAGGCGTGGACTGACCCACATTAAGATATTGAGGGGAACCAGTTATGTCAGATGGTACAGTGTGGCTTCTTTCCTTGATTGGGTCATCACCTAAGCCTTAGATAGGGTCCTGAGAAAAGTGATGTAAAACACAAATCCAGTTAATTAGAACATAGTATCTCCTGGTAGTTTTCTACCTTGTAAGTTACATAATAGGATTTGGAAAAAAAAAGCTTAAAGGTAGACATTTGCACTGGAACGTAGTTTAGCTCATTAATGTAGTCTTACTGCTGAGTATTTCTAATAGTCAATCTATGTTCAATTACAGAACAAGTAGAATAACATCTGATAATAGATTGCGGTTTAATTGTCATTACTTTGTAATGCTGTCATGACATTACTCTTAGAAGAAGATATTTAAAAAGAAGCCTACAATCTGGCAATGGAAGCCTGATCTTTTTCTTTTGATTCCTGTTTTTGTCTGTTTTCCTAGTTTCTAAAACTAAGGAATATGGGTCAATAAAAAGAAAGAGATGAAAGTCTGACTCCAGTAGTGTTAACGAAAAACATTTAAGAAAAGATTGAAATTATTAGAAAACATAGTTATTTCAGTAACTTTGTGTTCCTTCTGTTGTGCAACCCTTAGTATTGAATGCTAGTGTAAAATCACAGTATCTGAGTTTTAGAGTATTCAACATTGTAAATTGATAATCTGTTTCTTAAAGTGTTTCCAGAATCTCTTTTGACCTTTAGCCATTATTTCCATTTAGACACTCATTAATTACTATTGTCAAGAGCGGTATTTCCATCATGTGTCACTTGTGGCCAGTGAAGGAATGAAGAGGTATGGCAGTGAGCCAGTCTTCAGGTTTTATCATGCCTATGGTACATTAATGGAAGGTAGGCACTAATTATTCCAGAAGTTTTAAGTTCTTGTTTTGTGCGGAGTAATTTTCCAATGTATAATCTTGATAATCTTGATTTTTCAGGTAAAATTCAAGAAGCTCTTCGTGAATTTGAGGCTATTAAAAATAAACAAGATGTGTCACTTTGTTCACTGATTGCACTGATATATGCCCATAAAATGAGTCCTAGTCCAGGTATAGTATTTAAGCATAATGCATAGGTGGAGTTTCCCTAATTCATTTTGATTTCTACACTGTTTAGCGTGATCATTCTGTATTATTTACTAGCCATAGATACTGTTGACGTCATACGTATTTTAACTTCCTGACAAGAATATGAATTCATCAAGCACAACAAATGTATGTCTTAAATTTTTTCATATTCTTTATATCCTATAGCAGAAGTTTCATTGGTACATAAGAATCGTCCAATGTAATTTAAAGATGAATGTACAGGAGCAATTGTTATTCAACAGGAGAGCTAAAAGCAGTTATAAATATAACATATATCATATAGTTCTGCATTAGCCAACTTTATAACTTGTTCTATGCTAATAGAAAACAATGTGTAGTTTATCTCTTCTATTTTAAGGCTCTGGAAAGCTTTTACATTCTTCATTAGGGCTAGCTCTTCAAATCTATATGTACTATTACTACATTAGCGTAGGCTGGGAAGGCACTGTGAGAGACTGGAACTTAATGCAGTCTTTGAAGGACATGCAGAGTTTAAATATGAAGGATATTAACAAGCCAGGAGGAATGGGTCAGCAAATACATAGAGCTAGCCTTGCATTTGATTCTCCTATGGATTTCCTTTCTCTATGCACCATTCAAAGTGTGTTTAACTGGAGCAAAGAATTTATATAGTGGCATTACAGTCCGTAAGCCAGAGAATGGTGGGAGGGAGGCAGGAAGGAAGGGAGGGAGAAGGAGAAGGAAGAGAGGTGTTCAGAGATATTTGAGGGCTAACTCTCCTTTCCACCGTGTGATGCCCAGTGAACTTGAGCTGTAGGGGGGTTACGCAGCAAAGCCTAGGTTCTTGGTGTATATTCTTCTTGAAAGCCAATTTAAGTCCTTATAACGTGACTTAAGCTGAGATCTAGCAACAACCAGATTTGTGCAAACAGTGTCACAGCTTACTGGTGGCCTGCTAGGGACTTGAAACTCTAGGCTGAGACACATAATGCCTGAATACATTCATTTGTTTGTATCATGGCTACTTAATGAAAACTTGTGAAGTGGTCGGGCAGTGATGTTGTCATCTGACCTATAATAAACACTTGCTAGATTTTAATTGTCATCTAATATTGTTTTCCCCTCTCAGATAGAGAAGCTATTCTGGAATCAGATGCCAGGGTGAAGGAGCAGCGTAAAGGAGCTGATCAGAAAGCTTTATACCACGCAGGCTTGTTTTTATGGCACATCGGCCGTCATGATAAGGCCAGAGAATACATTGAAAGAATGATAAAGATGCCCAATAGTAGCAACGAGGTGGCTGGTTTTCTTATTTTGAAATAAAAACATTAAAGGAAGTTTATGTTATTTATACATTCAGTAGTATCTTGTTTAGTTTTTGCTACTGTCTATTCTTTTTGTAAATATCAGCTCTAATATTTTTCTGTACTGTAAAATAGGGATTTTCTAAGGTTGCTCATTTTTATCCTTATAACTCTTGAACAGATGCTTACCTGATTCTCTCTATTTCTGTTTCCTTTTCCCTTCTGCATTTATTCTTTCCTTATGTCTTCCTTTCTTTCCTCTTACTGAATAGCTCCACATGCATGACACAGTTGTTTATACTACTGGTAATACACAGATAAAGCATGCGTTAACTTTACTTTCATGAATGAATTACAGTGTGTGGTAGTGGCACAGAGCATATGCCCAGCTTATATTATGAGAAAAATTGCACATGTAGGAGGGATATGTGATGACAGTGCATAGGAAAATTATACCTAACGTTTACTACTTGCTTACTTTTTACTAGACTCTATTTTAAGTTACAAAGAGGGACTACGTCTGTGTTAGGAGGAAGAGATTTTGAAGGACATAGCTTTTGAGCTAAAGCCTGAAAGATGGATATAATTTCATCAGATTGTGAGAAAGAAAAGTAGATCTTCCCAAAGTGGGAAGTAGTGGGTGGAATTGAGAATGTTCATACTGGGTACATGGGTAATCTTACAAGACAGATGGATGAAGATGATGGAAGAAAAGTCTGGAGAGGTAGAGTGGGACAGACTGGAGGATCTTGTCTGCTAAGTACAAATATTTATATCTAATCTGATAGACATTGAGAGATCACTGAAGATGTTTAATCATGGGAGTGATGTCATTAGAATGCATATCCAGAAGATTAATTTCAGAGTGGTTTGGGGGTTGAACTTGCCTAGAGAGAAACTAAAATTGGAGGGGAGTCAAAAAAGGTAGCACTTTGATAGAAAGTTGAGGGTCTACACTAAAATATACACAGCTGGTATGGTGGCACATGGTTGTAATCCCAGCACTTGGTAGGCTGAGACAGGAGGGATCCCATGAGTTTGAGGCCAGTCTTGTTAATAGCAAGTTCATGGACAACCTGAACTGCCTACTGAGACCCTGTCTCAAAAAAACAACAAAATACTTATTTGTATTTGTGTGTGTATACAGTATTAAACTTGAGAATTTTTTAATACCCTCAGACTTGTTAGCTCATAATAGGTGAGAGGAGGGAAAGATAAAGAGGAATTACAAGGGGCCTCTTAAGATTTTACATCTGGATAATTCAAAAAGCAGTTAACATCTGTATAAGAAATGTTGCGATAAGAAGCTAGCCTTAGGGAGAGGTGGCATACTTACCTTCCAACAGAAAGATTTGACTAAGGGCTGGCAAAACAAGCAGATGTTGATCACTTGGAAACTTGGGAAAAGAAAAGTTCAGAAAAGGATTAAAATAGGTTGTATGAATTAACCAGGTAGTTGAAACCATTCAAGATATAATCTAGTTAGTAGAGAAGTATTGTTTAAGAAGTTAGTATGTCTTTTCAGATAAGATACAGAGAAGTAAGTACAATCTTACTTAAAGGCCTGTGCATTTATGAGATAGTATAAACAATTTTTTAATAGAAGAGAACATTTTGCAATTTTTATTTGATGTTAAGATGTTAAGAATAAAGAGTTTCTTTTTTCCAGTCTTGAAAATTTTCCAACCCATTGGTTCAGTAACATCTCGAAAGGTAAATATCCGTGACTTCTTAAATTTTAATTTCTCAGGCTATTTACCTTTTCATTTGAAATTCACTGGACTATTATAGAGGCTAAGAAGACAGCTGCATAGTTATCTGGATATTTAATGTATGTTAAATGAGAGATCTCTTCACCCTAGTTCATTTAGGTTGTTTGTTAAAAAGAAACAACATGTGCTTACTTTTATATTGAATTACATTTAATTGTCATTAGAAATAATTTACTAGCAAAGCCTCAGAGAAGAATATTGGTTTTAGCACTAGTGGAATATTAACCAGACTTCTTAGTACTGAGCCCAGTAGTAATCTCCGAAATTCATAGTCTAGTTTGCAAGACAAAATAGGGAAGGGTTCAAAAGCAATTTTATTACACAGAGTTTAATTGTTCAGGACACTATTTACAGAGTCCATTTTGGTATTAATTACTGAAAAAATGACATTAAGTTTACCTTTCTCAGTAGTTATTTCTGTCATCTCAAAAAATAGAAGTATGACTGGAATTTCTCATTTTACAGGGACAAATTCTGAAAGCATGGCTTGATATTACAAGAGGAAAAGAACCTTACGCTAAAAAAGCACTAAAATGCTTTGAAGAGGGATTACAGGATGGAAAGGATATTTTTGCTCTGCTGGGTAAGGTAAGTTAGAGTTAAGATAAATAAATTGTTTTGAATTCATTCAACATTTGATACCTTAAACTAAGTAGTTAAAAAAAAGATGATACTTTTTATGATCCTATTGTTACCTCTCAGAGTGACTTGTGTTTGTGTAGGATACAACTAGAGAAATGAATTCCATATCAGAGTTCCTGAATCCTGGATTATGTTTGTTGTTGTTGATTCAGCTTTCTTTCCTCAACAAACACTGTGCATCTGAGCTGTGTCAGACATCACTCTAGATCCTAGTGATGACCTGAGCAAATAGACCCTCCTGTCTTCCAGTGTGTATGACAGGCAGTCGTAAAGTTATGTAGCAGATCAGAGGGTAGGAAGTACAGTGGAAAAATGAAGCAGAAACTCTGACTCCCTGCTTCGGGCAGTGAGAAACTCAGTATGTGAGATCACAGGTCTGATGTCACCTTTTTCTTCCCTTGTTAGGTGCAGTGCCTTGAGATGCGCCAGAATTATTCAGGTGCTCTGGAGACTGTGAACCAGATAATCGTGAGCTTTCCAAGCTTCCTTCCTGCTTTTATAAAGAGGATGAAACTACAACTAGCCTTGCAGGATTGGGACCAGATGGTTGAGACAGCACAAAGGTTAAGTACAAAAAAAAATCAGTCACGTGTCTTTTTGGATCTGGTTATAATTATAAGACCAAAAAATTATGTGTTTTTTGTTATGAAACTTTTTAAAAACTCATCATAGAATTTTTCCAACCAGATAGAATTGATTTTTTTCTAAACAGCATAGAATTGAGGACAACATAAAATTGTTTTTAAAAACTGAAATTACTGATTTACATAAGTATGTCAATACCTGTCTTAAGACACTCACTAGGCAAACAGACAAAAATCCCTGTCCTCATGAACTGTATGCTGAAATGAGAGGTGCTCTACTAATAAAAACAAACAACAAAATTATGTGGTGAATCAGTTGGAAGTGTTAAGGAAAAAAGATACAGCAGGAAGGTGAAATCGGAGTGTTGGGAAATTTGATGTTATGAAGGTCCGGGAGAATGGGATTTGAGCAGAGGTTTGAGGAAGGCAGGGAGGAAGCTATACAGACAGCTGGGAGACTTTGCAGAAAGAGGGCAAAGCAAGTACAAAGGCCGTGGGCCTGACTGCATGTCAGAGCTTTGAGGATGGGAAGGAGTAAGAAGAATAGGTGGTGAGGTCAGAGGTGAAGGGCAGAGAGGATCTGGTGCCAGCTCATGAAGGGTCTTATTGACCGTTGTAACGATTTTAGTTTTCCTTCTAAAAGGTGAAATCATTCAAGGGTTTGAGTCTGCGTTACATTTTAAGGAAAAACTGTCCTGTGTTAAGACTCTGTAGGCAAGAGCCTGGCAGAAGCAGAGGGAGAGGGAGAGCTCTTTCTGAGCTCTTGCATAATCTGAAAGAGAAGTAGTCAAGGCAGTGACCAGGATGGTTGTAGTGAGAATGCTTTGAGAAGTGACTGGAATCTGAATGTGTTTTAATAAGGAAGGTAAGAGGAAGTGAGCTGAGGATAATCCCGACCGTTCTGGCTTGAACAGAGTACTATAACAATAGCAATAATGATGAACTGTTATAAAGTGCTTAGTGTCCCTGGCCCATAGGAAATGCTGTACATCTCTAAAAGGTAGGTACTAGTTGAATTTCAGTTTGAAGACTATGTGCAAAGCTGTTTATTTATTATATTCTGCGTTCAACCTGTAAATTATTAGGGAAAATTATTAACCAGAATTAAGCATTATATCGGGCAGTTGTTGGTATAAAACAAACAAGCATGTATCTCATGAAATAAAAATTCATAGCACACACTTGTGTGGGTTATGTAGGGTCGGATGAGCTCAGTCAGGCTTCAAGTTTCAGATCTGACTGAGTCGGTGTGGCGCCTGTTGCCCCTGGGCTCTGGTCATCTCCAGCAGTGTTCTTCCCTGGGCTTGGGCAAAGGAGCAGCAGCTGCCAGAGGATACTGTTTTCTTGGCGATAGCAGAGCTGCAAGAGAAGCTTTTCCGCTCCTGCCTGCATTCCATTGCCAGCATAAGAAAATTAACCAAATCCCTGCTTAAGATGAAAAGTATCCTCCAGCTTTGTAATGGGACTGTTCAGTTACATGCCTGGAGGAAAATATTTGGGGAGGAATGAAATGACAAAACAGATAACTCAGTGTACCACACAGTGAAGGGTAAGTTACACCTCTTGCTCAGTTCATTTAAAAAGTAATCTTGAGGTAAGCTTTGTATCTTTTTAACATTAATAGATTTTTAAATGTTTGACCCATCTTAGCATTCCTAGAATTTCTGTGCTACACTAGCCTGGTCAAGGTGGATTAAACTTCTGGTAGACTGTTGTGTATGGTTAGCTAATACTTTAGTTTGGTATGTCACAAGCTTTCATCTTATAAAAATTTATTCAATATTAAATTTGAGAAACTTAAAAGTTTAAATAATTCCGACATCACTTTATTAACTAAAGCTACCTGTCTGAACAGTGGCATAGTCAGAATAACAGACCAACTTTTCATGCCTTCAAATAAAAGAAAATATGTAAGTTTATGTCACCATTAACGAATGTGTTTTCCTGCAGATTGCTCCTTCAAGATAATCAAAATGTGGAAGCACTGAGAATGCTGGCAGTTTACTATCTGTGTAGGGAGGGGAATATAGAGAAAGTAAGTTGTATTATGTTACATTTCCTGTATTAAAGATTAAAGATGAATTTCACCACACACAAACATGCATGCATGTGCATTCATTAGTACTTGAATTTTTCTTTTAGAATGTGTATCATAGTAGTTTTTAGTTAATTATTAGAAATTCACTTTAACAAAGAAGTTAGCTCTCATATCAACTAGTAAAGCAAAAGTACTATATGGTGAAAATTACCCTTGAAAATTCCTTACATCATTAATTACAGTATGTGTTTCTTCAGATAGAACTCCTGTGTTGTAGTGTATTTGATTGATGACATCAGTGATACTGGATACAAAAGAGTACATGTGCAAATTTTTATAATATTTTCATAATTGAATTGAGCTTGGGTAATGTAAATAAGCTGAGGGTGAGATCCCATTGTATCTTGTAATAAAGCCCATCTGTTCTGTTTTAGTGAACACATTACCTGTGTACTAGATGATGGAGAGCCAAACTCCAGTCGGAATCAAATGATATTATAGCAGCTGGTTGAACTGCATTGTGCTTTGTGTGATTAATGTGACAGTACCTAATCTTAGTTACCACTGGAAGCTCTTAGTAGGACAAATTTTCAGTTAATTTTTCTAACATTTATTAGGCGCTGGGGATGTAGCTTAGTGATAGAATGTTTCTGTAGCATGAGTAAGGCTCTGGATGTGATTTCCAGCATGAAAAAAATTTACTAAATACCGTTTCTATCCCAGAAAACATCTTAAAAATAACCTAGTCTGCATAGGCAATTGAATACATAGTTAATTGAATATTCATTGTAATATGTTATCATTTATGTCGCCTTCGTGTCATGAATTAATTATTGGCAAGAGAGCTTGGTATGTATAGTTATTAATATATGCATCTTTACCCATCTAGAGGTTTCTATTTAATAGCAAATATGAAAGAATGGAATGTAAGAATTCTTTAGTAGCATTATTGATCTTTTATAATAATTTTAATATTTCTTACAACATATAGAATTCCATTGGAAGAGGAAGACTTTGTAAAAGCAAAATTGTCTTAAAATTTGAGTAATAGTGCATTGCATTAGTGTGTATATGCATGTATTATATTCTTTTTCTTAGTCTGTTTAAAAATTAAGGGCTGGGGATATAGCTCAGAGGCACAGCGCCTGCCTGGCAAGCATGAGGCCCTGAGTTCAATTCCCAGTACAATAAGAAGAAGAAGAAGAAAAAGAAGAATACCGATTGCTTTTGTTCTAGGCTACCACCAAGCTGGAGAACTTAGGAAATGCATTGGATGTCATGGAACCACAGAATGCTCAACTTTTTTATAAGATTACGAAAGTCTTCAGCAGAACTGTAAGAATCCATACTATTGCATCGGAGCTGTTTTCTATAGTGGAGAGTATAAAAGAAGTCCAAAAAGTTGAAACACTAAAACATGTATGGCCTGTAGTGAAAATATGATATATATCTAACTGCGATACATTTCTAAGAATGGCACTTTGGAGGAGATGATTTGCAAATCTAAGAACTCTTCAAGGAGGGTATACTTCTTGTGCTTTTAAAGATGGGAAAGTGCCTTCCAGGCAAAGGAAAAATATTTTTTAATGAGAGCATAGGATTTATGAGTAGGATTATTCTTTGCTTTTGTTTTAAACCTATTTGAAAAGTTTTAAATTGAGTAAGATTTTTTTGATAGGGGAAAAGGTCAATATCTTAGGGTTTTTTTAAGTAATAAAGAAATATTTCAATTTTAAATGCCCAGTAAAAGGGAAATAATCAGCAATGGAATACAAAAATATATCAGAATGAGATGATTGAGAATTATCGAATGAGTACCAAGAATGAGAGATTTGAATGTTAATTAAGCTAGCCAAAAGATAAGGGGAATATTGCATACAAACAAGTAAAATAATTAACAAACATCAAATTGTAAAAATAAAGGAAACTAATTACTAAATGATACAAATAAACTGAATTATTTAAAAATAAAATTGTCACATATGTGAAGCTTTAAGTAGGAAAAATTCCTCTTATTACAAAAGCATTAATTAAGAAGGGTGTTTACCTTTTTTAGTTGCCTTTTTTACTGCCAGACACATTGTCTTCATTAGATTTTAATAAGCTCAGTGGTTATTTAAATTTGTTCCAACTTTTAAATAAGCATTTTACTCTTGAAAGTTAACTTTAGAAGTTTTATATTTACTCTAACAACATTTCTTAATGTTTTATATTTACTCTAACAACATTTCTCTAACAACGTTTCTTAAAATATTTTTGAAATTTTTTCCATGAAAATTTAAAACTTGTTCTTCTAAAATATTCTCACTAATGACATATCTTTGTCTTTAAGCAAAACAAATTTTAGTCCTAGTTTTTTATTATATATGATTAATTGTAAGTAGATACTTAAAAATTTTAATGATTTTCCTGTCTCATTTACAAAAACATGAGAATCGTTATGTTACACCACAGTCAAACTGCATAGCATCACTGAAAGTGTACATATCAAGATAGAAATTTTGCAAAATTTCTATCACTACTCACTGAGATATATAAGTCCTAATAGGTTGTAAACTTCTGATGCATTATCTGAATAATTAATGGGGAAATTTTTTTACTGTTAAATAATTTTAATCATTTTTCTTCATGTGAAATGTACAGAACACATACATTTAGAGGAAAAAAAAAGTAGTCCTTTACCCCCAGATGCTTGACTTCTATTCTGATTTAGTTTTTTTTTTTCTCTTTTCAGTGTGGACGTAATGAGCTTATTCTTCAGAAAGTTCAAACATTGCTAGAAAAAGCTTTTAGCTTAAACCCTCAGTCATCAGAATTTGCTGCAGAAATTGGATACCAAATGATTTTACAAGGGAAAATTAAAGAGGCATTGACGTGGTATCAGACTGCCATGACACTGGATAACACTAGCATCTCCGCACTCACTGGTAGAATGGCTGTTTCTGTAAATGTTGCTAACAGACATCTAAGTACAGTTGCTTTAAGTGCCTGTGGCTAAGTAGGAAAAATATATTGCCGTTTTCTAAAGTTAAACTGTTCTCTACTAGCCACCTCCCTTTTACTGGCTAGAGAAAAAGTCATATATCTTTAAAAATAAAATTTTTATTTCACAAATAATATTGAGAGAAGAAATTTTTATGAGATAGTTTCTATAAGTTTGAAATTCTGGAATAAATGATTTTTATATCAAAATAAAGGTCCACTTTACTTTGATTTACTCTTTTTTTCTCTTTCCATTGTTTTTGTTATTATTTTAATTTAAAACATTAAAGTATTGTGGTGGAGGGAAACATGTTTATTAACACTGTTCATGTTAGTTTGAAGGGTACATGCCTGAACTGGTGTAAGTCTTGACAGTTGTTGTCTCTGATTTTAGGATTCATCCGATGTCAGTTAATGGATGGGCAGTTACAGGAAGCAGATCAGCAGCTAGAATTCCTCAGTGAAGTTCAGCAGTCCATGGAGAAGTCTGCGGTACCGTTTTTTGATCAGATAGTAGAACGCAGCTACTTACAAAGCGTGAAATTTTAACTTAGTATTGTTATTTAGTAATGGCTCTTGTCTTGGTTACTTTTCTCTCATTGCTGGGACAAAATACCCAACCCCCAAAATTAAGGAAACAAAAGTTTAGTTAGCTCACAGTTTATAGAGGTTTCAGCCCATATTTGGCTGGCTCCAAGGCAGAGTGGCACATGGCAGAGGGCAATAGTTCATGGCTGCAGAAGATAGCAAAAGTAACAAGAGCAAAAGGGAGGAGCAGTAGCTGGAAGAGCAAGCCTCTTTCCCTCCCTTACATTGTATCCAAAGTACCCGCCCCAGGGCAAGTGTAGCACTCACATCCATAATTCTAACTTTGGACCATTAATCAATCATAAACTCTAGAAGCCCACTTCATGACTGCATTAGGCTTTGGGGGGACATCCAGATACAAACCATAACAGCTCTAAAGGACTTATGTATGCTAACTTTAAAATGTCATTGTATTTATTATTTTACCCTATGTAAAATTAGACTTGGAAATATTCTCAATGATTATGAATGTGGCACCAGGTTAATACTGAATTTTGAACAAATGATTGCACATAAATAATACTTTACATACATTTGAAATCTAAGTAAAAATAAATGGCTTTATAACTGAATGAAATAACTTATAAAAACTATTTCTTTTCCAGGAATTAATCTATTTAAATGCAGTTCTTGCTGTGAAGAAAAATAAACGTTCAGAAGAAGTTATACACTTATTAAATGATGTATTAGACACTCATTTTTTACATTTAGAAGATTTACCCCTTGGCATACAGTATTTTGAGGCTCTAAATCCTGATTTCTTACTAGAAATTGTGGCAGAGTATCTGAATTTCTGTCCAATGATGGTAGGTAATTCTGGGACATTTACAAGGATGTATTTATATGCTTTTTAAAAGGTGCTAAGAAGTTACAGTTAATGTGTTAGATTATATCAACATCTAAAAATGGTAGTATTTATAACTATAGTATTTGAAGTAGTTTTTGTGGATTTCTTAGCAGTCACAATGTAGAGTTAACCAGTAGGTTTCTTAATCTGTGAAATAAAACAAGCAATCCCTACCTCCAAAGTAGGGCAAAAATCAAATCAGACCATGTATATATAATCTAAAACATAGCAGTACAATATAATTTGTTATTTGAAGTACTTTTAAATGAGATGTTTATAGTAATGACTGCTACCAATTAATAAAAATAGTGGTTTGTCCATATTTATTTGTAATTTTTAAAATCTTAAAATCTTCAGTTTAGGAGAACTATTAGAAGTCATTGACTTCTAACACCCACTCTCTATTGGAATCTACTCTGTAATACTATCAGGTGCCACCTAACCTCTGAGCACACTTATAAATGGAGTTTTATTATATAACTCATGACTGAACTATATTTCCTACACTAAATTAAGTTCTGCTTTTCGCTAAAATATGAAAATTTAGTGGTCCTCCTGCTTCTTGGAGTGACAGAAAAACCCAGTACGTAGCTCTAATCAAGGATCATTTCTCATTTATAAAACAGATTTTCAGTTTTTGGCTATCAGTTTTCTTGTTACCTTAAAAAGTTTCATGTTGGCAACAGTTTAGTTTTTTATATTGATGTAGTTTTAACCACCCTGGTTTTGAAGCTGAGAATAACCTTTACTTTCTTTGCCTCTCATTAAATTCATTCTTCCAAATACAGGTTTGACCTACAAGACGTAACGTAGACTCTTTCTCTCCCTTTTTTCTGGATATCCGTCTGGGGTCGTACTTGGTGTGTTTGTGAATTAGTTATATTATTGACTCCTAGTATAGTGACATTTAAGCAATTAGATCTGTCCCTTGTACCTTTGGGCTCAAGTGTAGAACTCGACCTTTACTTCTGTGAAACTATCTTCTCAGATTCATCCTGTAACTCCAGATTAATTCACTCTTGTTGGATCTTGTAGTCTATTTTAAATGGAACCTTAACTTCATGGGCCACCTGCTCTGTCCAGCTCTAAGACAGTCAGGATGGTCCTATCCAAGCATTAACAATTTTGAGTAGAACTGAAAATGGAATCCCATGGTATACTACCGGAGAGTTCTTTCCCAACTGATATGGATCCATTAGTCACCACCCTTTTATTACAGACAGGAAACATGTAAATGACCTAAGCTTATTATACCCATCTCTCATTTCAAATGGCAATATCAGGAGGGTCACTATCAAGTAGTTCATTGCTAGAAGCTAAAGTTGTTAACATTCGTTCTGCTCAAGGACCTCGGAAACTGTATAAACAAGGGAAATTAGGAAAACGGCTTACCCTTAGGGAAGTCATGCTGCCTTAATTTTCATGTCTTTTCCCAGGCTTTTATAGCTATTCTTTATAAACTAAACCTTCACAGAATCATACTTAGGACTGATCTCAGTTTCCCAGTCATGATCCATTTTCAGTTGCTTGGAAGTTGGAATGCCTTTTCCAGTTTTCATTTAGCATTCAAGATTTATTCTGTAAATGGCTACAGAGTACCCAACACTCTGCTCAGAACTGGGGAAATAGTCATGTGGAGTCAGGGGGAAAAAAAAACTATAACCGTTGCTACAAGGCATATATATTCTAGCAGGAGGACACAATTTAAGCAGAGCACATACTTGTTAATATTATCATGAAGATGACAAGAAAATAATAGATGAGGGTGAGGGCAAAGAAAATTTTAGGTAAAGTGATCAGGGGTAGGCTTTTGGGAGGGTGATATTTGAATAAAGACTTGCTGAGCATATGTGAAGATACTTTGTTTCAGACAAAAGGAATGGTTGGCTCATAAACCCAAAGGGATAGAAAAGGTCCTTGCACAAATGATTATACCAGGTAGGGAGGTCACATGTCAAGAATCCTCTCACTTTATAGTCCTGCACACTGTGAGGTCAGCAGAGGGCTTTCAGCACGATGGAAGTCAGCAATTATAAAAGGTTTCTCTGACAGCTGTACTGATAATAAACTGTAAGAGGAGTAAGAAGTAATGCATTAAATGAGTCTCCGCTTCAGTTGCTCATCACATTCCCCCATTTGTATTTGTCAGCATGCTAGTCCACATTTATAATGTTGTTTCCATGGGGGAAGTACTAGTAGACAGAATTGTCTCTTAAGCTTTGTTCCTAGTTATTTTATGTAGAGATGCTTTTCCTTTAAATTTTAATTGAATAAATGTAATATTAGGGATTGTTCGCATACTTCTGTTTTTTCTATCATTGCACATGGAAACTGTTTACAGTAAAAATAATCATTCTCATTCTTAGCAAGTGGCAAGGAACATTATCAAAACCTTAACCATCATTTATACTTTCACTGTCTTCAGTTCTGCTGAGAAAATAAATACAGTTTAAAGAATTTATTCTGTATCTATTATTAGGCAAAATAGCAAATTCTGATTTTTAAGATATGGAAAGACCATTATTTCTGCAAAAGAAGCAGAATTAGATGGGAAACTATTATAAAATTATTATAAGGACTGAAGAAATTTGAAGAAGTTAAACTGTTTTAGATAAAAATAGTAGTATTTTGAATATCTTTCTGAGGACCTTTTGCATCCTATTATAGGTAAAGAAGTGTGTCACTTTCTTGTCGGTGACAGTGACTCATCAGAGTGGTTTTAAATAAGAGTATATTCCAGTTACAACTTTCAGGTTAAGATTGGGGTGGGAGGGTCATTCTTCATATAAAAGAAATAGTAGTAAGACAAATAAAGGGGAGTGATCATTAGATAATTGAATTCTAATATCATATTTCTAAGGCTTGATTGGAGGACAATTGGCTAAATACCAGTTGCGTGGATGGCCATTATAATAATGAGCAAAATTAACAATAGTCTTAGTATTACTTTAGCCATTATCTTCACTATTGATAAGAAGAAAATAAAATGTGAAATAAAAATGGGGCAAGTGGAAGTATGAGGCATTTGTCATAGTATGCCTGAGTGTTATTGCTACTGGGGGAAGTCTAAATTCTTTAAAAATTGAGCTTGCAGCATCCCAGAGCATAAAGTAATGGAACTGAATAAGTCACAAGGTGAGTCTAGAAGGACAGTGAACATTCTCTGCCTTAACTCTTATCTATTCTAACAGGAAACCCCGCCGTTCAGTTAACTTTCCCTTGAATTGATGTTTCTTTGATAAAATATTTTACTAGATATATTTCTTTCATATTTTAAAATTCATAATTGTATACTAATTTCATAATTATTTCGCTGAACAAAGGCCATTATTTGAATAATCTCTTTGTAGATTCCCAGGAAATGATTTCCTATTACACCAGTCATAGTAAAGGTAATAAGTAATAAATAAAATGAGAAATTTCAGAAAAACACAGTTTTGATAGTCACACTAAAATTAATGTGCTTAATTTTGCCTTAATATTATTGTAAAATATATATTAATATTATTATATTTTTTAAATGATCTCATTTGCTTTGTTTAGCCTGCAAGTCCTGGGCAACCACTTGCTCCATTCCTTGTACGATGTACATGGGTCCTAGAGACCGTAGTGAGAACCGTACCAGGTCTTCTCCAAGCTGTCTTCCTAATAGCAAAAGCGAAGTATTTGTCAGGTAGAGTACACCTTAAATACTTAAAACCTTGGATTCTGATGTTGCTAAAAAAATACACGTAAGTTATGCACTCCGTCTATATGGAGAATAGTTACATAAATGCACATTTTGTGAATAGGTGAGTGATCTTTCATCTGAAATAAAATTGCAAAACTATTTAATCCTTAAAATCTTACTATAAATTTTGTAGCTCAAGTGAATTTCTGAAAAACATAGTTATATCTCTTAAAAAAATAAAGTCCCCTCTGTCTACTTGGGATTGATAATAAAAATTTACAGGCTTTAATCTATATAAGTTGGCTTGTGGGAATAACCAAACGCAATATTTATCATGTTTCAGATTTTATGAACTGTATCAATTAGTTCTTATTTAGTTCCTGGGAATGGTTGTTGTGGCTAAAGAACGTAAACCTAGTTGTAAGCTTTTTAAGGCACAGGAAAAAAATATGACTTTACACATAAAAATTGATCATCATATCATGCCTAGGTATGTACCATTTAGCTGAATGCTGTGCAAAGTAAACTAAGTTTAGAAAGTCATCTATAGTAGTTTCCTATATAGTTTTAATTCTTTTATAGGACTAAGAGTCTTTATGTGTGTTGAAGATCAAAATTTTAAACCTATTTGTAATTTCTTTAAAAATATGTTTTTGTGGTTTGTTTGAGGGTTTTTTTGGTGTTTCTTTGAGGCAAATTTTTTATGTAGCCCAAACTAGCCTTGAACTTGCAGTGATCCTCCTGCCTCACCCTTCTGAGTGCTGGAATTATAGACATGCCCCACCATGCCCAGCTAAAAGTATGTATTTTTAACAGAACTAAAAATACCAATTTGAATGAATTCTCATAATTATTCTTGCATATAATGGACTTAAGAGGTTGCCTTTTCTATGTTTTGAACTCCAGTTTAACTGTTTTAAAAAAAGATCATCTCAAAAGCTTATTTTACCTCTTAAAATACTCTAGTAATGCTGGGCGTGGTGGCACACGCCTGTAATCCCAGCACTCCGAAGGCTGAGACAGGAGGATTGTTGTGAGTTGGACACCAGCCTGGGCTACAAAGTGAGTTCAAGGCCAGCCTGAACTGCATAGCGAGACCCTGTCTCAAAAAGACAAAAAAAAAAAATACTCTAGTATCATTAAATACCCTTAATACTCTTGCAATCGTTTCTGTTATAAGGCAAATCGTGTATGAGGACCCATCAGAGAGTGTTTATCATAGATATATGCGCAGGAGGGCCCTCCATAGCCTTCTTTATTAATTTTATTAATGTTTGTTATTATTGATACTATTAATATTATTTTATTAATTTTTCCATTGTGTTTTAGTTAATGCTAGACACATGCAACTCCATTTTGATTCTGACAACTTTCACACACTCAGATTTATTATGTTTAGCCTTTTTTGCTTGCACGATTCTAAGCACTGCATTACATCACATTGAAAGACTCCAATATTAATTATGCTTGGTGATTAATTGTTAGACTTTGACATTCTGTTTACTGAGCTATTATGATATGTCAGCCAGTTATTTGTCCATTAATTCTCTACCTCTAAGAAAAAGCATTTTCTGTTTCAGTGTATTTCCTTTATCAGTAGTTTGAGCCCTGTGGAACTAAAAAGCTCTGACTTTCAGCTTTATTTCTTCTGCTGTGCCCTCAGGGAAGGTTAAAGAATGTAACTGAACTAAGCATAATTTAGGACCTCTTTTTTCCCACATCACTTAGCAAGGTTGAATGGGGAGTGGACCTACATGTACTTACTGAAGGCCAATTTGTCAGAGGGCTAAGTGTCCATCATGGAAATTAGCATCACGAGAAACTTGTAGGACGGAGAATCTGTGATGATTATTCTCTGAAGAGCCTCCTCCTGCTGCCCCCTGTACCAGCCCAAAACCACCCCACCATTCCTGTCACATTAATCTCAGTCATTTCCTGCTATTTTAAGACTCACATGAATAGCTGATGTTTCCTAAAACATTCGGTATTTCAGCTGATATTTAAAGGCATTTTAAATGTATAACTTGTACATATGAATCTCTAGAAGTGTCCCCATGCCTTTTTAGTTATTTAATATATAATAATAAAATTCCTGGGTAAGAATGATTATTAGACTGTATCCTCTCTGCTAATATAAATGACACTGTGGAATTCTAGCTATCTAAGTGTCTATTTTTGCACAACCTACTTTAATGAAATTATAAATAAACCTTTTTTGACAAGGAAAATAAAGGTGCATTTATGTAGCTGTCAGTAACACTGGTGATTGACTGTCATCCACTCAACTCCCCTGGTTCGCTAATTACAGTCCAGGGCTCCTGTCTTAGAGGTCTGTTCTTCCTGTGGACTCAAAGGAAGGTAACTGATCCATGCAGGAATGAAACCCTGGCCTTTGAACAGAGGATTTCATGTTTAAACATTAGAATAGTCCACAGACTCTTCTGTCATAGTCATCTGATGCATAACTGTGTTTCCCTCTTCAGGTAATATTGAAGCAGCATTTAATAACCTGCAGCATTGCCTGGATCACAATCCCTCTTATGCAGATGCCCATCTCCTGATGGCTCAGGTTTATTTGTCTCAAGAAAAATTCAAATTGTGTTCTCAGTCTCTTGAACTTTGCCTGAGCTATAATTTTAATGTAAGTATTTGAGACTCAAGTGACTGAGACATTTCACTGTTTGATCCTTCAGTTAATGCTTACATATTCAACTATTTTATACCTTAGCCTGTAGTATTTTGTTAAGAAGTACATTTTTAACAGAAAGAGGGACGAGGGATATAGCTCAGGGGCACAGCACCTGCCTGGCAAGTGCAAGGTCCTAAGTTCGATTCCCAGTACAAAAAAGAAGAATTTTGAACTCACAAGCAGTAGGGGGAAAAACGTGGAGGTACCTTTGGTATAATTAAAAGCTATGTGAACTGGCAAAAGAAAAAAGAAAAGTCCCTGATTTGTTAGGTACAGTGGTGTACACTTATAGTCCCAGCTATTTAAGAGGATGATGCAGATGGTTTACCTAGGTCTAGGAGTTAGAATTAGAGGCCATCCTGGCAACATAGGGAGACCAGATCTCTAAATGAATGAATGAACGGATGAACAAACTCTCAGATCAGAGGTCTGAGACAAATGTCTGTCTGGTCTTTGCATGTATTTCTCTGGGAGCATCAGTTTTCTTTTCCATAAAATGTGTATGACACTCTATAATTATGAGAATTAAATAAAAAACTACATGTAAAAGTAACATTAAATCATTGAAAATTATCCCATGTATTTTACATAAAAAATAAATCTGTTTCTTTCTTGCATCTTTGTTTTTCCTAATTTCTTTTTATATCCATTGTCACAGCTAGGCATTTTGAAAGTTATTGAGTAGTTTTAAGAATATAAACACAATCTGTTTCTGTCTGAGATATTTTGGATATTTTCTCTCAGCATTAGGGAAGCCATAGGCTCAGAGGCTTCCTGAGTGAGTTCCAGTCATAGCTCCTCAAACTTGGGTGTTGCTTTACAAGATCTAGAGCCCTGTCATGGTGAACCCATAAGTGAACTAGATCTTAGTACTAAGCAACACTGTCAGAAATTATTACCTGCTTCACAGGACAGTGGATCCCAGGCCTGGTGGCCCATCATAGCCCAGTGCTGGAGAATCACAGGCCACAGCCAGTGAGTGGGTCCCTCTGGGAGCTCAGCGTCCGTTCTCACAGAGCCGCGCGGGAGAACACAGGGCCTTGGAGGACTGACGGCTGCCACGGCCCCTCACGGGACCCTCTCCTTGCCTTAATCTTCTTTCTCCCACTCAGTTTGTCATTCTCTTATGTTTTCTGTATACACTATTGATACATGGGTCGGATTAGCATCCAAAGGCAAAGAAAATATGTGATGAAAGCTCCCTAAAATGTTTAATGTTAAAAGTAAAGAGAAGAGAACTGTGTTTATAGAAATCTAAGAACTATATCTGTACTAGAAGTCCCACATAAGAAAACTCTTCCCTGAAAATTCCAGTAATTTTGTAGAATGTATTAATTCTAAAAGGCTTCTTTCACTCTGTCATAGTAAAAACCCCCATTTGACCCTTTGTCATTCAAGAGGCTGCCAGGCAGTGGTCATTTCCCCGAGCTGATGGAATGTGGTGAAGGGTTAGGAAGTTTGTAAGGAGACAGGAACAGACTTCATATGTGCGGTCACAAACGGGCTACCTTAGCAGCCCTATTATTTCAGGTTTGATGGATGTTAATATTATAGGCACTTCAAAGATTGATTACTTAAATGGAATGTTTTCCAGGTGAGAGAATACCCTTTATATCATTTGATAAAAGCTCAGGCACAAAAGAAAATGGGAGAAGTAACAGAAGCAATTAAGACTCTGCATATGGCAATGAATTTACCAGGAATGAGGAGAACCGGAGCATCTTCAAAATCAAAGTACAGAAAATCTGAAGTTGACGCAAGCCATCGTTTATCAGTCTTCCTTGAATTGGTGGAGGTTCACCGCTTAAATGGAGAGCAGGTAAATTCAGTGGCTCAGAGGTGAGTTTGGTTGTTCAAATATTACTAGAAAAGGAAAAAATGAAAACTATTCCCTTGACCAACTGGTAAAATGTAGAAAGTATATTTTCCATTACTTTAGAGTAAAATTCTGCAAATAAAAGTACTTTCTCTGTAAGCTCCTAAAAGTTAAACAGAATTTGTTTCTGAATAACTTTAAGTCTCAATGTGCTTATGTTGGCTACCATAAAATGTAATACTATAAGGTTTAATTATACCACAGTGGTAATAATGTAAAGGAATCTTAATCCTGTGAATTCCTAAAAGGCCCATACACATACACTTTCATATATACACTAGTTTTATTAGAATAAAGTGAACCTATCCAGTACTTGAAAAAACAAAAGAAATACTGGATGACTAGTTCTGATAAAGAAGTACCATGAAGTGCTTTGTGTGGTGGCACACGCCTGTAATCCCAGCACTCAGGAGGCTGAGGCAGGAGGATCAGTGTGAGCTGGAGGCTAGCCTAGACTACACAGCAATACCCTGTTTCAAAAAAACCAAAAGAAAAAGGAAAAGAAATACCATGAAGTTAGACACTTTAAAAATAATTCAATAGGTATCTACAATCCACTTTTTCACATTTTAATATTTCTTTTGTTTTTTTCCCCTTTTTGAGACAGGGTCTCGCTGTGCAGTTTAGCCTGGCCTTGAGCTCACTTTGTAGCCCAGACTGGTCTCGAACTCACAACCATCCTCCTGCCTCAGCTTCCCAAGTGCTGGGATTACAGGCATGCACCACCACGCCTGGCACATTTTAATATTTCTGAATTCAGAAAGTTTTAACAGTCTGTAAAGTTGAGATGAATCTTAAATAAGGTAAAATTTTTACCCAGAGGATAACAAAAATGTTTCTCTGTGGAGAGAATAAAATACTCTGTTAATAAATGACACCTTTGTGTGTGCATTGGGTGCATGTTCCCTGGATCCCATCAAGTTTGATGCCGAAGCTTGATGCTGGTTCTGTCATTTGTTAACCTTTCAACTTCTACGTCTCAGTGTCCTTAGTGAAAGGTGGGGATAATAATAACTGTCTTAGAGGGGTGTGTCCAACCAAGTGGACTAATGCATCGCATCGAGAAAATATTTACTAAATTACAGCAGTGGTGATTGTATGTAGCTACTGCTGTGTCTTAGTTGGGAAAGCATTTATTCTGAAACTAATTTCTATCTTTGAGATTAGTTTTAAATATTTGTACATTTCAGAAAACCTATTGATATTTTTATAAACACCATAACTGGAGCAGCATTTTTTATTCATTGTTTTATAGGAACATTATTCTTTCTAGTATAAACTGTTGGATGCTTTGAAAAACTATTTTAATTTCATCTTTACAGCACGAGGCAGCAAAGGTTTTACAAGATGCCATCCATGAGTTTTCTGGAACATCTGAGGAATTACGAGTTACTATCGCTAATGCTGACCTTGCGCTGGCCCAAGGAGACGTAGAGCGGGCTTTAAGCATTCTTCGGAATGTTACGGCTGAGCAGCCTTATTTCATAGAGGCAAAAGAAAAAATGGCAGACATTTATCTGAAGCATAGAAAAGAGAAAATGTTATATATCACTTGTTACAGGTAAATAGTCATTTCAGCCCATTATATTTTGACACATGTACCTCTTAAACTTAATTCCCAAGTTTATTATTGTCTTCCTGTCACTTTCTTTACAGTAATTTATAGATCCTTTCCTCACCATGTTCTTGATGCTTTCTCCGACCACCATGCCCTGCTGCTCTAACCAAGTGGTTTACTCTCCCTGAAATATAATTATGGCAACTCCAAAGCGTGGTTTGCTCTAGTTTCTCAGCTCTCTTTATCAAATGACTTTTGTAGAACCTGAATGTTCTTATTTAGAAAAAGAGAAAGGATTATATGTATTCTTAAGAACATATAACATAACAACTATCCAGGGAATAGGCAAGCATGTCAATACTCAGAATAATAGTGCTTGCAAGAGAAAATTAAAGTTTACTACGTACCAAACTAAGGAATGCATTACAGACATTCCTTGGTGAAAGAGCAGAAGCTTTAGAAGTTATGTGACGCTGATAACTTTAATACTTACTGAGGCATCACACACAAACGTACGTTCTCCCCAAACAAAATGTAATGTAGAAGCACACACTCCATGTCACTCTCTGTAGGAGAAAATTTTTCAGCTCTTAATAACATCGTAAAATACGGATAAGTTACTTCAGTGTTGGCCCACCTGTAGTATAGAAATACCTAACCTCAAAACGCCGCTCAGATTGTTTTTGTAAATACTGAGTGATTTAGAGAAACTGGGCAGCACATAGTGTTCAGATGGCTCAGTTGCAGTTTCTGGATCATGTTTTCTAAAATATTTTCAAAATGTTAGCACAGTTACCCCTAGTGATTTGAAATATGGGGAAAAACAGTGTTTTGGATGTACTATGACAGTTAAAAACATGGATTTTTAGTTTAGGTAGATCTGGTACTTCAGTTGTAAACTTAAACTCCTAACATCATCAATAAAATGGAAATAATAATTACATTTCTAATACTGGCTTTGGGCCAATTACATGAGATTTGTACTATCATGTACTTGTAGTCAGTGTACTAAGAATAGTTGGTCTGATTTTCAGAGAAATTGCGGAAAGAATGCCCAGCCCTCGGTCTTTTCTTCTCCTCGGTGATGCGTACATGAATATTCAAGAGGTAAAATTTCTGATGCTACTTAGCTTACACTTTTAAGAAACTCTTTATGATGAGTATAACCTTCTATTAAAATGAATTTGGCTTTCCTATAATGTTTGTTTAATATTTGAAGATCAAAAAGGGGATAGCTGTACAATCAAATTTTCCTGTCTTTTAGTATTGTGATTCAGTAATTCAGCATGATGGATTATTTGAAATAGAGATATACTAGAAGCACATTAGGAATCTCCTTTAAACAGAAGGATGAAGAGGGCCACTGACTTTATAGTAGGTGGCTGAAATGAAAAATCAGGAAGCTGTTTCTTAGATCTGTATTATTTATATAGCTAAGTACCTACTCAACATGGTGGTATCATAAATATAATTTATATCCACCCTACTCACTATCATTTTTCTGAATTGTTAAGATTCTCAAACTTCAATGTGTACTTAGTTATTTCTATAAGGAATTTCAGATGTAGAGCTTACCTGTACAAATACCATTCAGTGGGATCCACGTAAGCTGTTTTTATTGTTTGTTTTTGGGTATGTGTGTTTGACAACTTTAGCCTGAAGAAGCTATCATAGCATATGAACGGGCATTAAATTTGAACCCAAAAGATGGAACGCTAGCAAGCAAAATTGGGAAAGCATTGGTCAAAACTCACAACTACTCAAAGGTAAGTACTACAGAGTTTGTCTGTTGGATCAAATTGATCAAATTCTGCTCTGGAGAAGTCTTCAGCAAACGCCATTTGCATCTTTGATGATTGTAAACTCCAAATTTGTATTCATGCACTGAAATTTTTCTTAGAGGCTTTCTTAGCATCTCACATTCTTCACTGCTTCATTTTGTGAGGACTAGACCCTGGTGTTTACTTCTGGCTTCTTTTCCCAACCAAATTATTGGCATAAAGTTATTTTATGTGGGTGTGGCACAGGGAATTGAACTCAGGGTCTTTGCACTGAGCTATACCCATATATATATTTCTTTTGTTTGTTTGTTTGTTTTGTCTTTTGACCCAGGACCTCACTAATTCACTAAGTTGCCCAGACGAGGATCAAACTTGCAATCCTACTAGATCAGCTTTCTAGAGTGCTGGGGTCACAGACGTGTACCACTATGCCTGGAGAACTCTTATTTTTTTTCTTACATTGTATAATAAAGGATAAGTGTCCTGTTGTTGAACCAATTTGGCAAGTCAGATGCTTTGACAGATTTATTTTTCCCTAATAGAAATAACATGTTTTCCTTTAATTGCTATACTCTTGCCCTATTCCTACTGATTAGTGATTACATATATACCAGCCAACAAATTACATGCTTTTATAGGGTTCTCTGGTCTCTATGTACTTCAAACATGGACTAATAACAGTAAAAAAAAAAGTAAGGTAAAAAGTAGAATAAAACCTGTAAAAAATGCTTGCCAAATAGTGTTCATGTTTGTAGTGTTGTGTGATGCTTGATTCTATAAGAAAAGTGGCATACAGTACTGAACTGACAGGGCAGGTATGTATGTAGGAGTCTTCCAAGATTATTTCTAGTTGTGGGAGTGCCTTAGGTCTGTGATATTTAAAATATCTGTGCTTGAATGCCAATTCTCATTGCCTTTTTCCTAAGTGAAATGTATTTTGTTTAGGCAATCACTTATTATGAAGCTGCTCTGAAAAATGGACAACAGAATTACCTTTGCTATGACCTGGCTGAGCTTTTATTAAAATTGAAATTGTATGAAAAAGCAGAAAAAGTTCTTCAACATGCACTAGCTCATGAACCTGGTATGAAAATCTTTCTGGTTCAAAAAATATACCTGATGAGTCTGATTTATTTTACATTACATAATAATGTATTTATATTTTCAATATTGTGTATGTGTGATTGGTTATATATATTCACATGTATTTTTTCTTGTATCAGAATGCCACTCTACTAATACGGGTATTTTAAATGTTATAATAGCAGATTATGAAGTAGTTAACTGTGTTAAAGAAAATGGCTTACTTGCCAAAGTGATACAAAGGAAGTTATAAATTGCAACCATTTCTTATGCTTAAAATATTAACATTTTTATATCTTTACTTTTTAAAAATAGTAACAACTAGATGTGGTAGTGTACACCTCTAATCCCAGCACTTGAGAGGCTGAGGTAGGAGGATCACTGTGAGTTCGAAGCCAGCCTGGGCTGTACAGTGAGTTCATAACCAGCCTAAACTACATAGTGAGACCCTGTCTCAAAAAAAAAAAAAAAAAATCAAAATAGTAACAAATGATTCTTTTCAAAAATTCAAGTAATAATAATAATGAATAAAAAACCTCTTTACCCCAGGAATTCCACTTTTTCTCCTTTGAAATTATCTTCTTTAGAGTAGTTAGTGATTTTATATCTATCTATCTATCTACCTATGTTTATAAGTATAGTAAGTGCAGTTTTTCTTTTCATGAAAGTGTGGTATTTATTTCCTATTCTATAGATTTTTCCATGTACAACATGTCCCCAATATGGTTTTATACCAGTACTACATGTGCCTATCATTCTATCTAATGGCATCATAATTTTTCATAACACCCTGTTTATAAATTTTCTCTGTGTTATCAGGCATTTAATTTGTTTGCTCTCATCATTTTATTATCAATCATTTTGTGTGAATATGTTTTGTCTCATTCTTTAGGATAACCTTTCTTATATTTCTTGAGTAGCATGCTGGGTGAAGAATTTGTGTATTTAATTTTTTTTCAGTATTTTCAAGTTGCCTTCTTACCAATTTGTACAGATTTACTTCTCTAAGATCCTTTTTGAAATAAAATTCAATGCTTGACTATTGTCAGAATGTAAAGATTACAGAAGCCTGTGAAAACTGTGCCTTCCACTCATCAAAGAAAGCCGCATTTAACAACTTACATAGTACCATCCTAGGGCCAGGGATGTAGCTCAGGGGCACAGCGTCTGCCCTGCAAGTGCAAGGTCCTGAATTCGATTCACAGTACCAAAAAACATATATATCATCCTAAGTCCCTTCACTTCCGTCTCTTTGTCTCTGTCATGCACACACAGTTTCAGTCAGTTTTCTACATACACGTATTCAACCAACCATGGATCAAAAATATTTGAAAAAAAATTTGTGTCTGTACTAAAAATGTATAGTTTTTTCTTGTCATTATTTGCTAACCAATATAGTATGACAACTATTCACATAACATTTACATTGTGTTAGGTAGTCTTTGTGATCCTGGGATGATTTAAAATATGTAGAAGGGTGTCCATAAATCATATGCAAATACTATACTGTTTTATATAATGGATCTGAGCACCCATGATTTTGGCATTTGCAGGAAGTCTTGGAACCAATAATACATCGCAGATACTTACAGAAGTGTTTTTTCTACCTAATTGTATTTTTTTATGTGTATTTTTTTTCCTACCAAATGGGTTATAGGATATCCATAATTCTGCAGTACGAGTTTTTCATTTAGTAACCTTCTCAGCAAATATATTTCCTTGTCAGCAAATATAGCTCTTCCTTATTTTTTAGCATATGTATTTTACTCTGTGTTAATATTATAGTGTATTTGATGAGTCCTCTGTTAATGGCCATTTAATTGGAGAAAACCTGGAAACAGTACTAAGACAAAATATTTTCATTTATGTCTAGGTGCTTCTATATTGAATCTTCTTCATTGTTCTTTCAGCAGTCTAAAAGTTTCTGTTTTATATAGTATTGGTCATGAGGAAAAAGTTACTGTAATTTGCATTTCCCTGAAGACTTATACAGTTAGGCATTATTTTACTTAGAACTCATTTCTCCTTTCTCTTTAATATGAATCCTATCTTTAAACTGCTACGTATTATTCTGGTTATAGATGTTTTCTCCCAGGCTCATCTTTATCAAATTTATTTATTGTGTCTTTGATAAAATAGAATACTTAAGTATCACTTACTATATCTGCCCTTTTTTTTTGGCTTCTGAATTTTTTTATCATTCTCTGAAAAAGTTTCCCTAATCCTAATGTTATGCAGATCTTTCCATATTTTTCTGGCATTTTTGTTGTTTTAATTTTTATATTGAGAGCTTTAATCCATGTACCTTAGCCCGTGTAGTCTTACTGTATACTTCCCAAAGTGGATAGCCCATTTTCCTCTTTCAGCATGTATTGAAATAGCATCTTTATTATATAATGATTTACCCAGCCCTTCAGACCTCCTACCCTCTTCTCACCCACACACAGTGCTTGTTACTTGTGTCCACCAGAGCTTTTCTTACCGTTAAAATAACTGTAACAAAACGTATCTGAGCCTCTGGAGCAGAGCCTGTTATGGGCAGTGCAACGCTTGATGAGTGGCAGGAGGGGCTTATTTTTATTAATTATTCCGGGTTCTTCTAGTGCTCTTACATCTTCAGTGTTCGGTACTACCTAAATGTTTAAATAACTCACTTTTTACCAGACTGTATTTTGTTTGTATATGTTAATTTATTTAATAACTTACTAGCTTTTTAAAAATCTTGCAGTAACCCTATAAGATAGGGACTGTTATTTCTCTATTTTTTTTTTTACAAGGGAAAGTGAACCACAGAGCTAGTAAATTGTGAAATCTAAACTAGAAATCCGTCTGGTTAGCATACAAGTCGGTGCTCTTAATGCCAATACTTTATTGTTTATCAAGTATCCTATTTTAAAAAGAGCAGTTATTCTCTTAATTGCATGTAGCAACTGTTTTGTCTTCCTTTAATGTCCTCAGTGAGCAGAAATTTTTTATATTCTTACAAATGAAAATTGAAATGTTTACTTACATGGCAAGATTATCCTCTCAAAGTGTATTAAAGAAAAACTTCTAGTTGTTATCCATTTTAAAAATTTTCTTCCAGTCAATTATATCCTAACTTTTATTTTTGGTCATATCTTAGTTAAGTGACTGACAATAAAAATTAATCCTTATTCACTACTTTCGAGGGGATCAAACTCAGAGCCTCATGCGTACTAGGCAGGCTGTCTAACACTAAGCCAAATCTCTAGCCCCTGTTAACTGTTCTTCAAAATCATTTTTTGCAAAAATTAGTCTTAAAAGTATAAACGTTTATTTCAGAACAGTGTTTTTCCCTTTGCATCTCATTCATTTACAGTAAATGAACCGTCAGCTCTCATGGAGGATGGTCATTCTCAAGTTCTACTGGCAAAAGTTTACAGTAAAATGGAAAGACCTGGAAATGCAGTCACTTCATTACAGCAGGTAATGTGTGTGTGAGACTGCAGTGGGCTTGGGAGATGGGTGCAGAGGGAACACACCAGCCATGAAAAGAAAGCCATCTCTGTTGGCCGGACAGACAGAGAAAGTAGAGCAAAACAGAAATCATGGGTGAATGTCTTGTATAGCTGAAATATTGCTAATTATTATAATAACTGAGAATGGTATTTGAAATTCTGTTTTACTACTAAGGATATTGATTTTAATACTTGCATGAAGTCCTATGACTTGGGTTACTGTCAAAATCTGAGCTCTCTATTTTCTTCCACTTATGTAAATCTTTAGTTTCTCTTAATATTATGGCTTTTCAGGGTAGAAATTTTACACACATTTCTCTTTTTCTTGGTCTTTTAGAGACAGGGTCTTGCTATGCAGTTCAGGCTGGCCTTGAGCTCCCTTTGTAGCCCGGGTTGGTCTCGAACTTGCAATGATCCTTCTGCCTCAGCCTCCCAAGTGCTGGGATTACAGGCGTGAGCCACCACACCCGGCTTACACACATTTCTTAGACGTATTCCTAATTAGTTGAAAGTTTTGGATAACTTTTTAAATGTCAGGTTTGCTGACAGTTTTTCTAAGTGATTTAAATTGTTTCAAATATATTCTCTGCATCTGTCAAGATGTTTATAAAACTTTTTCCCCTGTTTATTTTTATCTGTTATGTGGTATCTTAAATTGATTGGTTGTGAATTGTTAGCCCACCCTTATATTCCTAAAATAAGTGTCATCTCGTTGCAGTTTTGAAGATAATATAGTCAGAATTTAAAGATGTTTCCTATTATTTTGTTCCAGCTTTCTATATCTGTTGTCATGAGATTGGTCTGTAACAGTGATCTTTCTTTAATGTTTGGAAGAATTCACTACTGAAACCACTGAGGCTTCAAGACTTCTTTGACAGAGTTTTTTAATGGATTTAGCATTGTTAATAAATTCCAGAGTGATCATTTTAAAATGTCCTCTTGTCGGTTTAGAGACAGGGTCTCTCTGTGTAGCCCAGGCTGGACTCGAACTCATGGCAGTCTTCCTGCCTCAGGCTCGCAAGTGCTGAGATGAGAAGAATGTGCCACCATGCCCAGCTAGATTGTTATATTTTTGAAATTATTTGTTTCATTAAATTGTCAAATATAGTGACATACATTTGTTTGCTTTCTTTATCTTTTCAACCCTGGCAAGTGCTATAGAATCCTGTTTTATTGGTCTCTTTTCTTTTTAATGATCAGTTATGCTACGGGCTTATTAGAGTATCTAATAATCAATTTCCCTTTTTAGCTTCATTAAATGTTTGCTTTTTACCTCATTAATCAGTTTCTTTTTTCCTTAGACTTGGCTTGCAGATCTTTTCCATGTTTCTTGATATATATGGAGGTAATGCATGTTAGATTTTGTTCTTTTCTTATTCATTTAAATGGATAAATTTCCACAAGCACTACTTTAGTTATATCCCACAAGTTTATTACTGTCTAGTTCATAATATATTCTTATTTTTATTTGGTGTTCAATTTCTAATCAGTTCTGATTTTATGTTTTTGATACTGATTTTGAGTTTAATTCCAGTGCAGCCAAATATACACATTGAAGGATTTGATCCTTTGAAGTTTGTTGATGCTTGCTTTATCTCCTGCATTATGATCAGTTTGCTCAATGTGAATTTGAAATCATCAATTTCCACAGTTGCTGGCTCTCAGCACATGTCAGCGGGGCTAAGTTTGTCAGTTGGTTGATTCAGATCTTCTGTTTGTTCCGGGTTAGTTTTTACTGCTTGCTGACTTGGTCTGTGCGGACAGCCTGCTGACATAAGGTGTCAGCGTCCTTCAGTGTAATGTTTCTCTCTCGTAGTCCTATGTGTTTCTGTTTACTTAGTGATCTGCAGTCAGAATTCTCATTTCTGTTTAGCTAGCCCATTTTAATTATAAGATAGCTCTCTTTAATAATATTTCTTGCTCAAAATGTCTTCTGTCTGGTGTAAACACAGCTATTCCAACTCTTGCTGTGTGCCTTTTCCTTTCCTTTTCTTTTCAACTCGCTGTGTCCTTATATTGAAGATCTGTCGGCGCAGAAGTTTTCCTTTTCTCTGTTCTGACAATTTCAACCTTTTATTCTTTTCATTAGAATATTTTGTTTACATTCACTATAATTATAGATTATACTTTAGTTTATATCTGCCATCTTAAATTTTTGAAACTTTTTAAATTCTACATTTTTAAAAATTTTTTCTGGGTCTGATTTTTAGTCCACTTTTCCTTCTATTAGTTTATTGTTTCCTCTTTTTCATTTTTTTTCAGTGTTACCTAGTGTACACTGAACATTCTTTTCTTATCCAAAACTTTACTTCACATTTGCCATTTCCATTATTGTTATTATTCATCTTAAACCAGTTATTTAAATCTTTGTAGTTAACACAATATATATCCCTGTAGTGTCAGATACTGAAGGATTTTTTAAAGAATCTTTAGTACAATTAGCAAATAATTATGAGATATCTAAGAGTTCTATGAGAATATTTTTGTCCCTATTATGGATTTGTTTTATAGCACCTATACTTTGATTTTATTTAGTACTTTGTGATTTATGTCATACTTTCCTATCCCCCACACCTCCCTCTGAGCCCTAAATAATGAGATATTTAAAACACATTACAGTTTGTTACTTTTAGAACTGTCCCAGCAAGAGGTAAAAATGTTACAAAACCAGACATTGCTGGTGCACATTTCATTTTCCTGTGTAGGAACCCAAGATTACCCAGCAATTAAAAGAAAGTAGTATCTGCTGAGGAATGCTGGCTTCCAGATTGTTCAGGTCCCCAAGACAGTGTTAGACACTTACTTCGTTTTATATGCAGAACTTTTCCGTAGCCAATGAGACTAGCTGATCATTGGCACAAATGATTGAAAGTGTTACAGCAAAGCTCTCAATAACCAGTGCCTATTTTATGACTTCATAGTGACTCAGTAGATGGTATTAAGTGATTACAAGGTTACTCAGTAAATATGGCAGCAAACTAAGAGCCAGTTATGGGACTTTTATGCCTTTCTTCCATTACTTTAGACCAAAGAAATGTAATACTATATTCCTTACCCATAGGCTTGTTTGAATTCTACAGATTTTAATATCTCTCTGTTCCTATGCTTTCATTGAGCATTATAACCTGTTCTCTTTAAGAATAGATCATTTTTCTTGTAATGTTAAAATTTGTCATCTTTTCAAGTTGTAGAACTACTAGGTAGTCTCTCAGTTAACTGATTTTACCTCTCTCTCTACCCTAATCCATTATGGGTTGATTTTGTGCCTTCATTCCGGGAGAGATCACTTCCTAAATTCTTTGAGGCAATTTAACGATCTCCAAAAAGGATTCATAATACTAATTTGTTTTGTGGTAGTCTAGTTGCTGCATATAGAAGTGAAAAGATGCTTGCACATAATAATCACCTCCTTAATACCTTATAGTTTTGAAAAAAATTTATGTCATTCTGTTCATTCTGAGTCTATGAGTTCCTATGCTATGTTGAAAACAATGAGTGTCTGATGTAAACAAATAGGTCATGTGTTACTGTCCTTATTTTCTAAATGTGGAAGGAGCCCACAGAGAATATTTGGCCCAAATTCTGTACAGTAACTGTCGGTAGACACACTTACAGCCCAACTAAGAGCGTATCAGTATTAATCCTGTGTGCTTTCTAGGACACCTCTGCTTGTCATTTTTTGATGAAAAGAGTTTTGCGTTCTGTAAATAATTTACAAGATGTTTTTATTATGAGCTTTAGCTAATATAGTACTGTATGTATGTGTGTTTCAGTGGCAGTGTCCAGAATTTTTGCTTTGGGGTGATGAATTGAGAGCTTGGACTATTAGATTTCTTTGATATTCATGTAAGCTTACAATTTCATTAAAATGCATATTCTTCAACAATGTTGGTATGTTATTCTTGTTAGTATCTTTTCATCCCTGTTTGTAGAGTCACATTATAGAGATTGCTACCTCGCCATGAGTTACCTACCAGTAGCTACATGGGAAGTACAGCAGTTTTAGTAAGGGTAAGCTGTTAAAGCATTTTAAGTAACAAAGCCAACTTACTATTTTAAAAAGTCAAATGCTTATTTCATCCCTTTATGAATATAATTAATTCCAGCCACCCTTCTAGCATTACATGAACAGATACTGAAGCAACACACACACACA